AATTCATAGAACAAAAATAAGATTGGCATCTAAGAAACAGAGCCAAAGCACAAACTAATGCACAGCCAGCAGTCTATCTATCAAAACCTTCAGGAAAGAGGTTACACAATTCTTAATGATCAATGAAGGCAGTCTTTTTCCACCTTCAAAATAATCTCCAAAATACGTGTGTTATCTTCCAAGCCTAGCTCATTACTTTTTGATAAAGCAACACTCAAAATTCATCAGTATTTGGCAAAAATTCTAGCATGTCTACCCCAGCTACAAAATTTAAGCCAGCAAAGTTGGCTTGCCTACTGTGAAGTGTATTTCCCAATGTTCTTTTTAGGGTATGCATATTTTTCTTTTCCTTTTCTTTTTTTTTTTTCCCCCAGGTAATATTCTTTTTTAAGTTTGCAATATTGGAACACTCCATGACAACTTACATAAAAATAGGGGCAGTAATGTAGTTTTGAGGGGAAAGTGTAAATTTGGCAGTCAGGAATTACAATCTAAATTCTCAAAACAATTTCAGTTTGGAAATAAAGTTCTTCACCTTTTCCTTAACTTTCCTTTATTAGCATTAAGAAATGTGGAGCAAGTAGGCATATTTTATTCCAGGGCTAAAACCAAGATGTTACAAAGGGAATCTAACTTAAAATGTATCAAGAAACTTTGTACACTATGGAGTATTACTCTTTATTCACTACTTTAATAACATGAAATAAATATAGACATTTACCACATTTTGTGAAGACGGGTTTTTTCTATATTGATCTCTTGCTAGAATTATCTGGTACTTTGTAAGGCTGGGAATATCCCGTCTTGCTAAAACTCCTATTTTAATCAAGCGTCCAGCAAATGTTTCTAGCACCTGCAAAACAAAACACAAAAGCATACAAGAGATGTGAAGGTATGTATATTTAGCCCTTTACAGTAGTTTTATTTTTACAGATCTTACACAAGAGAACGCTGGCGGCTTGCTTATTTTATTTGAAACACCGAATTTTTCAAAACAGACTATACTGATTCCTGAATAATTTGTTATTGTGCTAAATGACAAACTCATGCTCTGACTCACTGTAATGTTCTCCACTATCAGGATCTTTTCAGGCTAATTTTCAAAATCTTTGTCTAAGGCTAGGAGAATTTTTACAACTTGCTTCCCTGAGGATTTGCACCCTCTATCCTATAGACAAACATCATCCTGCCCCCAAAATAACCCTGTATCCATCAAGTAACTGAGAAGTGGAAACACACACTGTGCTTTTGTAATGGCCCAAGTACTAAATGCGCAGAGAGGAAGCCAAACAGGACTGGTAACCAGCTACTGCACTCATGCTGCAGCTCCGTCTCTTACTGGTAACCCCAACTTCCATGGCGTTTCAGTCTCAGGAAAACTTGTATTCATCTTTGAGAAGTCTGAACTACCGCAGGCGGAGGCTAGCCAACAGGTTAGAAGGTTGTGTGTGGAAGGGATGGGAGTCGGGAGACACAAGCAGAGAGGACTGCGCGGCCGGCAGATGGGCCGGGCACAGCCGCATGCCCTATTGCCTTTGGAAGCCATGCCAAAAGACAATTTGTTTTCATACATCACATGTACCTGCTTTCCACATCAGTGAAACAAGGGAACTGACCTGCACTAATTCATCTTAATCTTGTTTTTCCTCTTTGTTTCTTAGCCTTAGGTGGTCAGGATTTTTTTCACAGACTTAGTTTTGCATGAGCGCTAACTCTGTAATAATTGGAGTAATCAGATTTGTTCTACAAAAATTACTTACAATCTGTTGGCCCACTTGGCTAGTAGCACCAAAACCATCTCTAGCGCACAATAACAAGCTTCTCCAAAAGCAGTGTTGGCTTAGTTTGACAGCAGACAGTTCCTGATAGCTGCTTACATGCGTAGTGTTTCCCGAGTTTTCTGGGCATTTTAACACCAATTCAGCTGCACTGTGCTAGAGAAGGCTACAGCATAACAAATGCTGAACCCCTTTATTGCTCTTCTTTCAGCCCACTGAAAATCAAGTCCAACCGAACCAATAAAAACACATCTAACTTTCAGGCCTCAAACAATACGGATCTAAGTACGTCTTCAGCTTGTGCAGACAAAATGCCCCAGCAGGAAGAGAAAGTCAACTGTAAAAGTGCAATGCATGTTTCTACACTAAGTAAAAACGCTCCATTTGTCTTCTTCACACATTTAGTGGAGGATGGGTTATAAGAGCCTGCTAGCATGCACAAATATTATTAACAACCACAATCTCCTCCTACCCTGTCAATGCAGCGGCAGCTTAGTTTAACTTCTCTCTGCTGCTTTGACTATTTTTATAGTTTGGTACTCCTTTAGCTTCTTACTCTGTGTACAGTGCTACGTGGCACTAAGTGGCAAATCCTGAGAAAAGGGGTGGGAATAATTGCCATCGTCAACTACAGCAGCATTAATCCCCTAAAGAATCAAAAATGCAAAGAGAACTTTGGAAGGGTGAATGAACACTTGCGAAAGCACAGGCCAAAGGGAGGAAACAATGTGCTGGGGAATTTCCACACTGCCTGCTCCATGCCTGCAGGTCTTTCAAAAACAGCTAGCCAGAGTCAGCAGGCTAAGCAGATTATAGCAGATAAAGGCTGCTGAGAAATAATAGAAACAAAGCCTGAATTCTGAATGCTCTGGTGCATCTTACGTTGCTCTTCTTCCCTACTCTGGGCCTTCAGCCTGGGATACCCGCTCTCAGGCAGCTTGACACTTTTGCTCAGAGCAGCCCAGCTCAGCTCAATCCTCTCCCGGCCGGAGGGGAACCAGGCGATGCCCACGGGAGCTGCTGGGAGGCCTCTGGGAGCCACTCCGAAGGCAGGACGGTGCTGAGGAGCACTGTCCGCTCCACGGCTCTGGGGAGATTTGGAATCAGACCAGCCGTGCAGACTGAATGCCCACCTGCGCCGAAGAGCCCGAGGCACCTCCGAGCCCCATCACCAGGTCTGCCTGTACCTACAGGGAGCCTGGGCCACGGCCTCACACCGCTCCCCAGGCAAAGCAAAGCACCTCCCGAGACTCCATCCCGAAGCACGCTTGCTAATTAAGACCAATGGATTAACTAGACCAAATAAACCACTAACGCTACTAACAACAAGCAAACACCAATTGGCAAACACAATATTGCTAGGAATTTCCAGAGGAAAGGGGGGAAAAAAAAAAAAAAGGAAATCAAATTATCTTCTCTTAAAATGCAGTCAAAAACATTCACCAAGCCACTTGGAAGTCTAAATGCGCATGAAATTAATTTCTCATATTTGGTTTAGTTTTAAGAGTTTAAAATTCAAAACTTCTTCTTTTACCAGTTTGTTATTGTTATGTTGGTTTTAAATCTGGCCTGTATCTGACAAGTCACTTTAAAAGGACAAAGAATTGTCTGTTCCAGCTTATAAAAACAGGTATTTAAAAAAAAAAGAAAAAAGAAAAAAGAAAATGTTAGTAATGCAAGGGTAAGTCAGTGCTTTTTATTTGAATGGGATATCACTGAAATAGCACTTTACCCTCCCATCAAACTCTAAACAGTTGGACATAAGGACACTTAAAATGCTGAAGATAAGCTTAAACTGTCTTTAGTAGAAGAAATGGAGTCAGTCGTTGAACACAAATATGTTTCTCCAGAAATGAAATTAAAGTTTTCATTAAAAAGTAATGCCCACATAAGTGTAATATTTCAAGACTGGTTTATTATTTCTTATACTTGTTGCATAGCTTTTTTAAAAAAAAATTACCATTACATGAACTTTTATGTTTCATCCCTTGACCTACTTTATAACATGTAAGAAAATTATATTGTCACTGTTTGCTCAGTGTACACCCCTGTCTGATTTAATCATCTTCTGCAAAACAAACCAAGGAAGACTATTATGAAAGACAGCAGGATCCAGTCACCTGGAGCTTCAAAACTAATAAGGAACAGTAAACATAACCTACTTAGAAGGGATACAGAAACAAGCGCTACTCAGAGTGATTACATTTATCTTGCCTCCATACCTTTATTTTTAATTAAAAAGATAATACTTCTGGAAAGTCTCCTCAATCTTTCCAAAACATTAAAGTGTTATGTTACCCATTTAAAAACAGAACTGTAGAATTAATTTAAATTAATTGCTTACTAGGACTCATGGCTTTTTCTAGCTCACTAAATTGAATTCAAAAAGCTGACAGATTTACTACCAATATATAGAAGGCAACTGGTAAAGTTATCCCACACTGCACTAAACTTGCCAAGAACATAGGGTTTTGCTGAACAAAGTATCCTCCCCAGCAAATCACGCTGATTTTTTGAAGCTTGTACCCAAGATTAGCTTAGGACCTGCCAGTTGGAGGTATGACAGTAGCTGAGGACTACCATGTGTATTACAAGCAGAACTGGCACGGTGAAGAACTGTTAATATTTCAGCTACACCTCACTAAAACCTGCTAGTAATCTGTTTTCTCCTGGCACAATAAAAAACAAAGGATCTAAACAAATGGCCCAGCCTAATTATTTTACTGCAGATTTGCAAGCATTCTGTACCAAAGAAAAACAAGAAATCTCCCACTCATAAATAACTGCATTGCATTTCCTTCAGAGTAGAGGAGGGGGTTGAGAGAAACCAGCCATACAGTAGACTGTATCTTCACCAAAGACTGAGAAGGTCCACGTCTATTCACAGACAAGGCAAAGTGCCAGGAAGCTCTCCAGAGCGCTCCCAGCCTCAACAGGCAGACCTGACCAGGTTTATACACTCACACCGCACTTCAATGGAGCTGCCATTTCCCTTCATCTCCTTCCCCTGCTCTCCTGGCTCCAGCATTTCCAACGCACAATACACCACAGACCCCTTCTGACAATGCTGGGGCAGATACAGAATTGCTGTGCAAGGAAAGGAGACTACGTTGTGTGTTGGTGAGGTAACATCACACCTACAGCTGTGCAGGAACGTTACCGTGCCCCGCTGACACACTGGTCTGCCTTAATGAGGGACCACTAAAACCAGGAGTAGGGGAGTAACACAAGCAGCTCCAGAACACAAACCCAGCTTTTGGTGTGGCCGTGCACCGCATGGACATCACACTGCTCCTGCTCTCTGCTCCAGATTTTCAAGTTTTCAACAAAGGGAGTGAAGGAAGACAAGAAAGGGAAAGACAAGACTTCTTCCAGGCTCTAGACCCACCACCCATAGCTGGAAAGGCAGCTCAGAAGGTGTATTTATCACCAGTCTTCACAATAGAGTTGTAATCATACTGCCCCGGGGGGGGTGAGCAAACTGATTTTGCAGGAAGGCAATCAACCAAGGCCTTCTACAGCTCTAGATCTAGAGCATTCATTGCTTTATTGTGGGACTGAAACTAGAAAGGTTCAGGTTTCACAAAGTGTGCTACCTTGAGAAATGCCAGTGCGATAAGCATTCCTGAAAATAACTTCCAGGAGGAAGTCCCAGGGACAGACCCTGTTTAGTTTCCGCCAACCATAACCCCGGGTTGAGTTGAGAGAGTCTTGAGACTCCATCAAAATAGAAAGTACCCATGGTCGCAGAGCCCAGCGGCGCCAGAGAACCATCTAGCCACACAGCTGGAGGAGCATGTCTCACGGATCAGCTAGGGCAGCTTAAAGATACCCTTTCACCCACTGCCAAAGAAACTTTTCAGGCACACAGCATACGTAAAGTTTATGTACAGAGTGAGAACAGTTCATTGTAACCTTTGATGAAACCTCTCAAATCGTAGTATAGTACAAAGATGGGAAGGAGGACAATTATTAAGAGAAAAAAAAAAAGTGGGTTTATGACAGAGAAGGCAACGAAGAAAGGCATTTGGGACTATGACTACTGCTCAGTTTTAGTCATTCTCCCTGCAAAGCT